GATAAGTTCAATTTAACCAAGTTATGTTTGTCTGAGATCAAATGGTTGCAAAAAAAAAAAAAAATTAAGTGTTCATATGCATGAATTGAGTTCAGTGAACAATAAGCAGTGGAAGGCTCTACAGCTCAAGGATTGATTGTTTATTTACCAAAAATTATCTAACACGTCCTGCACTGTGTTTTCAAAGCCTTTTTTATGGTATTAAGCCATTGACTAGACACTGTTGTCTGGGAAGAAAGAGATTAGTAGAAATGAATTTTTTCTGCATTTTTTTTCAATTGTAAGTTTCAAAAATTCTGTAAAGATGTTTGACAGATACTTAAAATTAAAATGTCATGTTATTTTTAAATGAAACCTTTCATTTTCAACTTAAAACAGTCATTCACACATAAGTTAACTTATAGTAAAAAAACGTTTTTTTGTAGCAGTCTACAATCAAAATGGAGTATTCCCAAACTACAAAAGCAAAGCATTTAAATGGAAAACATCCATCTTTAAACCATTTTCATTATTCATGGCCATATTTTCAAGACTCACACCATAAGGAATTTTATTAGAAAGGTAAAAAGAAGAAACAATGAATAATTTCTTACATAAGTAAAATAGGTTTTTTATTAGTATCACATTTTAATCTAGTGTTGATTTGAATGGTAATTAATAAGTGTTTGTACTCAGTAGATTAAGCAAAAACATTCCAAGTACATTTTCTTTTCTTTGTTGTATACATAAATCACAAAGACATCACATCTATCCCAGATTGAATGAATTTGCAAAGACAGAAAGAATAAATACATCAGAAAGGTTTTACATAGGAGTGCATATAAATTGTACTGGGACTATAACTCAGAACTTTAAATATATGCTTTTATGTATTTAATGTGAATTTACAAAAGTATGTACTGAAAATGAAACATGATCCTCATAAATACATCTTGGGTACTGAAGGGTCAAAACATAAATTCCTCCATTGAGGCAGGAACTGTAAACTTCACTAATGCACAATGTTATTTTTGAACATATATATATATATATGTTATTTTTTAAATCCCTTTTAGCTGTCAGTAGTTGTAGTCATAACATGCATGTGTGAAACATATTGGCACATGAAAATTATAAAGTTGAGTCTAGTGACCTAATATATATAATCTTTGTGGGACGCTTCTGACAGGACATGCAGAAGAGCAAAAAGACTAGGAAAAAACCTTGCATTGCTTTAATTCAGATTGATTGAATTTCTAAGGAAATCCAAAAGATTTGTTTAGTGAGAAGTCATTACACTGTCCTCTCATACTGGTTGATGGACACCCGCCTTTCAGATTTCCTTCTTTTCTTTCACATTTCCTCCAGTTTACTGCCATTTCTTATATACATTAGCCCTAAAATATGCTTCTGCAGCCCTATAGTATTACCTGTTTAATCAAACAGTACATGAATACAGAAAATTTTTCAATGCCTATAAATCCCAGCTTTTTCATTTGGATTTATCAACTTAAACTATCATCTGGTCTCTTGAGAGGATTTAGCCGAAGACCTATTGGAGAATTTTTATATGTGACAGGTTTGTATCTCTGTATTAAATGGCTTGTAAGAATATTTGATTTTTTACCTCATACCTGTATCTTAACCATGGAAAGTTTACTCCTTCAATTTAGTTCTTTGATTTGTCAATAATCTGTATTTCTGGCTTGCCTTCCCCTCCCTCTCACTGTTCAGATTAACAATACAGTCTGATGAGCTTGTGACTTGCAGGTCTTCATTAACAAAAAGTGTATATAAAAAGAGTACAATTTTTCCATTCGTATCCTATGCCCTACAGACTGATTCAGTTTGCTACTTTAATTAGTCAGAAATCAGGTCTACTTTTAAATATTACAGGGCTAATGTTGTTTGCTCCATACTAAGATGCACGGCACAAAGCAGTGATCTGGGATTTCTAAAACTTATGTATTTAGTGGGGATGATGCTGCTCAGTGCTCTGCTCTCTATGAAATAACATTACTCTGAGTAGCTACTGCCTTTTCAATTTTGTAATTTTTCAGTCTCCCACAATGCTTCAAGAATGGATAAAAGCTTTCATTCATGCCATTTATCTGCTGAGGTATGAGACTCCCAGAAGACTAACCTGCATGGCATCAATGAATGTGAACTATTAAATGGCTTATCTAGGACCTTTCACAGCACAACAGATTAGAGAAAGACCATGTACACACTTCCATTAACTACTGTCATCTAGCTACAATATTCCCTAGGAACATAATACTGTTTAATTTTTTGTCATGCCACTTCTTCCCTTCTGTTTAAACATCTGATAACATCAGACATAAAATGGTAAGTAGTTCAAATTTTGCTGATGTTGGAGGACTTTTAAACCATGAATTTCAGTTTTTAGCAGATTGAAGGACAAGAAAGGGTATATCCTCAAATAGTCACTAAGTTCTCTGAAATTCCTTATGTATTGGTCTACTATGATGATATATTTGGATCCCTGCTTAACTAATAAATAGCAATGTTGCATCTCTAAATTTAGTCTTTTATTTATAATCTTGACAGCACAGGCACAGGGTAGATTTTAATACTGGCTTTAAACCATCTTTATTAATCCTCTTCATCTCAGGCTTCACCAGGTTGTAGCTATAGGAGTCTGATTAAATTGGACTCACTGCAGCCAATATCACCCTCACAAAAAGCCTGTTCAATTTTTCTCAGACACCATTCCCTAGTATCCACATTCCTCACTAGGTCTTCTAGCATGCATGCTGGGACTGGACTCACTAGCTGCCACTCAGGATTATGACGCCCGATAAACCTGTATTGTTCTGCATCACAGTGTTTGTAAGTTTGTAAGCATTAGTGGAAAAGCCAGCACAGCTCTGTGCTTATAAAGATAATTTCATTTAAGGAGCAAAATAACTGAGCTACACTGTATGGTAATGCACATTCCAGAGCAAGGTGCTCTGGAATAAAGTCTTAGAGCCGTACACTACAGAACTTCTGCAACAATTGGTTGCAGAAACGTAGCTGTCCTTATATAAACAAACATAAAATATATTGAGCTCATAGCAAATAATATAATAACATTTAAGAGATTTTAATCTAGATCTTTGACACAAAGGCCCTCTGATTTTTTTTAGTTAATTTTTGTTTGAATTAAAATGTGTCTAACTTCTTGTTTGCTAGTAATTTTTTGTCCTTATTCTGTTTAACATAGTTACTTTCACATTTACTCCTAGTTGAGCTGAATGTTTTTACATGTGTAATATTTTTTTTTGCAATTGTAATTCTAGCAGAACATTATTAAATTTTTCCCAACACCATCCATATTTCTTGAATTGAAACTATTTCTGCAGGGGTTGTGACTACTAATTGTCTAAGGTCTATAATACTGGACTTTTCAAGCAGCACTGTTTGTATGTGTGTCTAAGTACCTCATTCCTTTGTTATATAAATTACAGAGCAAAGGTAATAATTTGCTGCTTTTTAGTTTTGTGATCAAATCCTCTATCAATCACAACGTGAATTAAAGCAGGCATGGAGCCATGCACATCTTTGCCTCTGATGTTCTCCCTTCCTGCCCCTTTTAGTGAAAATTTCCTCTCATGACAGTATATTACTTCAGGGGCTGGAGAACTTACTATGATGGGGGGTATATTGTTTGGGGCTACTATCAGACTGTATTACCTTCAATGACCCAAATGATCCCAATGCTTCACTGTGAAGGGAAACACGACTATGAGTCAATCCAACCTCTGGATTTTATCCAGACACTTTAGTTTTTTTCCTAGCCTGCTATTCTTCACTTCTCTAAAGAAGGGGCTCAGTAGTGCTTCTGCACTGCTTTGCTGCCATATACCACCAATTTTATCATAAAATAATACTTGCATCCAGTAGAAAAAAAAGCATTATATGACATATCTCTCCAGGTTATTGACATGTACTGCCAACATTGTGGTATAATGGTGTCAAGTTGACTTTGCTGATTTTCAATACCCTATAAAAACCACTAGTAAGTATTTAAAGAACTCACCTTTTCCTAAGCTTCAAACTTTACCTGCAGATCTTAAAGCCATTTTTGTTTGTTACCTGTTTTCTAAAAGTTCCTAGTCTGATCCTGAGATAATGACTGATCTTACTTTGGCTCTTATTTACTCTTTCCATAGATAAAACACAAATTCTGAGTAGCTGGACACTCATCTGTTTGGGTCAATGGAAGACATGGGGTTTTCTGAAAATGAAAGTGTAAATATTGCAGAACTCAGTAGAGATTCATGAATGCTACTGATATCTACAGTTTCATACTGACTCATGTAATTTCTAATGGAAGATTAAAAAAACCCACAATATTTTTTAAATCATATTCAATGTTCAAAAACAAAAGGGAATAGTTTGATGACCTTCCTAATAAGACTTTAACCCGAAATCTTTTCTCCTCTTAATTTAGGTCAAAGAAGCTCTTTATTTTGTGTATGACTCTGTTACCTTATTTAATTATTCTCTGAATGTAGCTATTGTTAAGCCCCTAAAATTTAGCACAGTTCAGCATATATTTCAGCTGCTTACACTGGGGAATGTGTTTTAATATCACTTCACACTTACTAAAACACAAATTATTCCAGAGCAAGGATATGCTGCTACCACGAATGAATAAATTTTAATCATAAAATGTACAAGTGAAAATTCAACCTATTCAAGAATATTGTCAAAATGTTTCTGTATGATAATGTTTGTAACTGAATAAACATGTTGGGTGAAGTAATTGCATGTACTGTAATAATGACTAGTAATGGAAAACAACTACACACAGATGCAAAACAAAAAATGTTGACAGCTTTTTTATTTCTAAAAAAATTAACTGCTAGTATATCTTTCTGATACTTCTAATGAAATATTTCTAAAATTTTAAATATATTTCTAAACAATCATGACTGCTTCAAAACAGTTTTTTAAAAATATGTCTCAATGCTGAAAGAAATTTAATTACCTTTTTTTTCTCCCTCTTCTAGATATTTTTAAATGCAGATACAATCCGCCTGGGAAATCTACCAGTGGGTTCCTCTTCGTCCTCCTCGTCCTCCTCTTCTTCCTTCTCCTCCTCCTCCTCCTCCTCACCCAGCTCTTCAGCTCCTCGCCAGACTATCTATGAGCTCTGCGTCTGTCCCAATGGTAAACTTTACCTGTCTCCAGCAGGAGCAGGCTCCACATGCCAATCCAGTAGCAACATCTGCTTGTGGAGCTAGAATGACTCCATTTTATCCTCACACCAGAATAGCCTTTTGTTACTATCCCTCTGCTTCACAGTTCTGCTCGGTTTCCCTTGTGACAAGTTCAACGCTTCAAACGGCCTGCAGAGCAACTTCTTCCAGTGTAAGCAGGAATACAGCGCTGCCTTCTCTTGTGGTGTGTGGTGCCACTCAACATAGAGATGGGAGTGAGATACTCAGAAATAAATGTATTCTTCATCAGGAAACCTAGAACATAAAATCACCTTTTTTTTCCAAAAGGGACAATAACACAGGTGCCTTTGCTACTTGAAGTGAAGCACATAGTTTTAGATTTTTGCAGGACCTGGATATGAACTGCACATAAATATATATATATATATATAGTACATAAATTTGCCCAGAATCTGATGGTGAGATGAATTGGTTTCCCCTGTATGATAAATAACTTTACTGTCTAAAAGCACAATTTTCCATTCATCTTTTTGGATGTAAACTTTTATCCCTGAATTTTAAAATTTTGAAGCATTGTGTGATGCTTGCTTTATTACACAAATTCAGTAAATGGTTTTTAATACAAAAAGAGACAGAATCCCTCCCTGAGTTTGGTTTCTTTAAATATGTGTTGTTATTCTTTGTCTACCAAGTCTAGGGTTTTATACACTAGGTAAATTTTGGAAGTGCTCAGCAATATTACCTTTCAAAGTTAAAAAGACATATGCTCTTGTTTGTCAGATCTGAATGACCTTATATAATATTTTCATGGTTACTGTATGTGAAGTGATTGATTTAAGTATAACATACAACTTCTGGAAAAGAAGAACAGGGTAAAGAAGGAAATTCTGATGATATGTTTGTTGATCAGTGTATTGCTCTTCACAAGGTACTTGTAATTGGCAAATATAAAACCAAAAGAGAAATCTTCAAAGGTTCATCTTACCCATTTTCTGGCTATGTGTAACTGCTGCCATTTGAACACAGTAAAAATGTTGGTACTAATGTAACATGTGATGCTGAGAAGCAGTGCACTAACAACTTGTATGACATTCACATTTATTATTCTCTTTTGTTTATCATCTGCTGCTAAGATTTCAAAGTAATAGTAGTATATATAAAACCACATATTAAATAATATTCAGTGTTTAAAAGTATGTTGATATTACATTGACTTTATCAGGTCTGTGTTTAAATTATGCAGCCACATTTGCATTCAGATCTCACTACTGACTTTCTTTTTGACGAATCTCATGACAGATTTCTTTCTTGTATCAATGTTCGTACTTGTTTGGCTTGGTTGGTAATTGAAATATTATGAAAAATGCTTTGGTATACTGCTGGTAAATTTGTCACAACAGTGATTAACAAGAGTATCTTGAAACTTGCAGAACCCAGGAATGTTAAACAGTATAAAAATACTTCCTATTGTGGAAGATGGCTTGATTACGTGAGGTAAGTGATCTTTTTAATTCTATGCTTTAAATTACATCACCTAGCTTGTAGTTTTAGAGGATTCTGAATGTAAGATCATAAATGACATGCCAGCTTTTGCAAAGTAATTCTAAAGTCAAGGCAGACAGTGCAAGGTGGGTATTTTATGCAATTTTTTTTCTTAGAGAAAAAAGTGAAAATGAGCAAACTAATACTATGATTGCCTTTGCATTTTATTACCACGTAATTAGGTTGATTTTGTTTTCACTTCAGATGAAATTCACTCCTATGCAGAAGACCAGCATAAGACGTGTCAATGGCTTGACTGGTGCTTGCCTTACCTTTGGTCCTCTTCAGAGGAGTGAATTTCACCCCATAGTAAGAATTCTGTATTTACAGTCTTTACCAGCTAAAAGATTAAGATTTTTAAACTGATTATTTTCCCACTTCAAAAGAATATAGATGATTTGGTTTTTGGTTGGTTTTTTTTGAGATATCTATTCTTGGAAAGAAAATGTATAAGAAAATATTGCAAAAAATATATTAGAATATGAGGATTTTTAGTAAGAGGGGCAAAAAGAGATATAAATGGCAAAGAAGATGACAATGAAAGATTGAAAAGTGTAGCCATACAATACACCCTTAAAACTGTAGGGATATAGATGTCTTTTTCTTATGAACACAAGTAATAGAATGGTAGTGTAAGAGTCATGGATAAATAGTATTTCAGGAGGAAAAGTTTATAGATATGTATGAGAGCACATCTATATGTATTCATTGTCTGTGCACACCTACACATACCTGTTGCTGAAAAGGTGAACAAACATACTATAGTGACTAATCTATTTGGTGAATTAAAATATGGCTTCTTACAAATTACATATAAAATAGCCTAAAGCTTTTTTTTCCCCCTTAAATAAACCCATGAAATGGCTTGCAGATAGTTTATCATTAACTGTCTACTGAAATATTCTTATTTATTTGCTTTTTACCTTATGTGATTACTTACCTGTTATGCGTATAAAAAAGGTTTCTACCTGCTGGATGGAAAGACCCAACCTTTATAAATTTTACACAACTTGGGTGGGAACAGACAGGTATCAAAAAAATCTTTTGTTACTAGATTCATTTTACCAGCAAGAACTGGAACAACTGGCCACTTAGTATGAAGAAAACTCAGAGCAGACATGTGGATGGTGCATTAGACTCCACAAAACGAAGCCAGTAAGTCCACATAGCTCTTCACTGTCAGGATATTCTTTATTGAAATCCCTTCAGTCTGAAATAAAGAGTATTTAAGGGGCTTCACCAACCTATGAGATAGTATAGCAATGTCTTAATATTCTGGTGAATTTCATAATATCCATGTTTTACTTTAAATCCATCAAAAACTGTAAGAAGGGAAAAAAATCAGTTTTTATTTTGAAAAGTATTTCTAGCCCACATGATTTCAGGGATTTCAATGAATTCACAGAACTAAAAGTTTAGAACGCCATCCTTATGACTGCAATGAAATATATGAAAAGCCCTTATTGGCTACATTAATTTAATATATATCATAGATTAATCTCCTGTAAAAAAAATCTGTGTCATGATATTATAGGATACTGTCTCTTTCTTGTTTAAAAAAAAAAAAAAAAAAAAAAAATAAAAGCATCAGCCAACCTCTCTGAGCACTGTTATGGTTTTGTATTGCAGTTCATTCATCGTCTAAGTGTTAAGACCAAAGACTGACACTTCTATTAAATCTAACACTATGACACTGCTGTTTCTACTAATTCTGTTGGAATGAAGAGATGAGAAGTTGTAATTACAACATGAAATTGTAAAATAGTTTAGATTTGTGCAGCATTTTGAGCTGTAGACTGTCACTTTTTTCTAGGGTTTAAATTTTTTGTCAGTGTGTTGCAGTTACCTTACTGTTCATTCATAGGGGTATCTTTTGGTGAAAACAAAGGAGTATGTATTCCAAAACTTGCCAAGACATTTTTTTTCTTTCAACTGGTTATACTGGTTTGCTTGCAAAACAGTGGTTTGTCTGGATAACAGAACTCACTTTAAATCATTTTAGATGCAGAGGGCTATTAAGTCTGGATTGAAGATACAGCCATAAATGTTTAGAAGGATTTAATGAAGGATGTTTAAGATAATTTGTTGCTAACATAATGTATTTTTTAGGGTTTTGCTTTGTTTTTAGATTCTAAATAATTGCTAAATAAAAAAAAATCAAAACCCCACAAACTAGACTGGAATTGTTATCAACTGATTAATGTAATGTACATGAAAGTCGGATCAAAGTTTGAGTGTCATATTGTTTCTATCAGTACTCAGTAAAGGTATACTAACCATTTTTATTTTGTAACCTTCATGTTAATGATTTTCTTGTGTATATAAATATATATAAAAAGATGGAAACTATTTTCTTACACATACTATGCAATATGTTTGTAGAACTGCAATATTACCAAAATTACAAAAGCTGTGCTTTTGTACTCTCTTGCTTTATGTAAAAAAGATCTTTTTTCTATTCAATGGACTGTCAATCTCAGAATTGTGGATAACATTATTCAAAAGCAGTACACTAAAATTTTAAGATTTTTTTTATTTTCTTTTCCTTGGATTTTTTTGTTTTATGAAAATAATAGCAAGGTTTTGGAAGTTGGAAATTGTTTTTCTTGGAAAGCTAGAACTTTTACAGCATGTAATTAACACTATCAGTTTAAAATGCCTCCTGTATCTCTTTCATTTGGTCTTAGCATTTTCATCTGGTGCTACTATATAACCATAAAGAAATGTAATACATTAAATAGAAAACATATGAGAATTAATTTCAAGAATAATCGAGCAGGAAACCTTCTAAGGGTGAGAGGAAGATATAGAGTAGCTAGTAAGAGACTAGATCTTGTGGTGATGTCACTAATGCAAACAAACCTTCTCTGTTTAAACTGGGTATTGTCACTTCTGGTAAAAAGCAAGGTGATCATTTGGGTGGTTGAGTGCACTGAGCTCCTTGGTGCCACATTACAATTTCAGCAATATCCACAAGAGCCAGACAGCAGCTAGCTTCACAAGACGTAAAAAATAAATGGTAATTTTTGTACAAGAGCCACAATTGTATAGAACTATCAGTAGTATAGGTCCTGATAAGTCTCAAGTGACTAAGACACAATAGCTGATACAGCAAGAAAAAATGTTCTTAGGCATTTTACTCAGGCTTGGACTAGTCCAATCTGGGGAAGCCTACTGGCAGTAAAAGATAAATGGAAGATAATAGTGAAAAAAAATCCACCATAAACATTTTGTTGATTCAGTACAGTCCACACTGAGACTAGAATTTAATACAAGCTCTCTGTGTAAAATAGGATCTCTTCTTAAACTTTCAACTGAGCTTCAGATTATGTTGTTTGCATTTGAAAGTATTATTTGGTCTTTAACCAATACATTTCTTGTATAGACTAAGACCAAGTAAAGTTTCAAAAGAGCTGAGATAGAAGCTTATATTGTATATCTGGTCTGATTAGAGTCAATTAACCCCAATTGAGTTTAGCCTAATTAAATTTAAAAAAATTTAAAAAAAAAAAATTGAAATTAGAAAGTTTTGCTGAGTTTTGGGAAAAGTTTAAGTGCAGTTCACTTTTTTAAGGAGTGTCCAGCTCAACCACTGTCTCCAATTCTGACGTGTTTGAGCAGTGAGAGTAATTTATATTACAAAACGTGGCTGTTGACCTAATCAATTTCATTTAATACGTGACTTGATCTGAGAAATAAAGGTGGCTTTTAATCACATGCATTCCTCCTTGTTTGTGATATCCCTAAGGCAGAAGTTCAGCATCCAGCACCATCTAGAGCACAATGAAAAATAGAATTTAGATATTAGGGAAGTATTACTGAAGGCAAGATGTATTTTTTTCTGTGCTTTATGATATTGCAAACCATCATTCTTTGCCACTAAGAGATCTGCATTCTAGCACAGTTTCTAAGTATATTTTCCAGAACTAGTCTGAAAAAAGCCAAAATTTGTTTCTTTCTGAGGTTTACTTGTCCCAAACACTGCAGCAGTTAGTGAAAGTGAAATCCTTCTCCTTAACTCCCTCCCACTCTTAACTCTTCAGCTGAGCTTGAATTGTCCCCTTAGAATGCTCCTTTCTTCACAAATAATGAAAGAAGAGACAACAAAAAGAATTTAGCTATCTCTTTATCAGGGTCCTTCCTGTGTGACTTACTGGAACTGTATCAAAAGGAAAGTTTCTATCAAAGAAGAAGATTATTTGCTTTGTGACAACAGAAGTTACATAAGAAGGAAAACAAACACAAGTAAATATCAATTTTAGTCTGACTTCCTAGAAGAAACTTACTAGAGTGAAAGTTTTTAGACTATAGGCTTCTTAATATCTTTTCATTTCTTGGAAGTTTTGTAATTTGTTGAATTTATTTCAAATACCATAAAATAAATATGCAAACTATTCTATCCTGTTACATTTTCGATAAGGAATATAATGGATCATAGAAAAGGAAGCACTGAGTTCATTATTTGTCCTTCTCTAATAATGCACTTATTTACTTTTACAAATCTGAAAGTAAAAAACAGAGGTAAAATGGTACATAGTATACATATAACTATTAAAAACCCTACTAATAATGGAATATTCCTTTAGTTCATGGCTGACATTCTTATTCATCCTAGATAAATTAATTTCTTTTACAGTGGTATGCCTCTCTGTTGTTTTGTATGATCTTTGGGAGACAGGGAGCCCCTGATGATAAAGGAAATAGAATATCTGTGCAGTTCTAGAAAAAGCAACAGTGATAGTATTTCCCATCCTACAATGGAACTGAACAAGATGTGAGGGCATTTATTCATCTGAGGAGAGAGGGTTTTCTGCAGTAGTTTTATATTGTAAAGAAAACAGGATACTTTCCTGATCTGTGCTCCCCAGGGTGACTAAGACATGACATTGCAATAACTTTTGACGGACAGACAGAAAGGCAGTGGGTTTTTTTGATCTGCATGGGAACAGGTAGGACAGTAGTACATGAAACCTACCTGAAAGAAAGAGCTGAAAATAGGCCAATACAGTAGGGTGGATTCAAACACTGGTTAAGACAATAGGAAATGCTCACACATTCTGTGTCTTTGAATTAGGCTTTAAATGTTCACTAAAAGTTTATGCAAAAAAAAATTGTCTGTGACTTTTTACTGTGTGTTTCTAAAATGCATCATTAACATTAGCATAATTTTTCCTCTGCAAATTGTTCCCACTTCTAACTGCAGGTACTACTTTGACTCCCCCACAAGGAGAGCTCTAAATAATTGTGCAGTCTTCACTCATTTGTCAAAACCACTTTAACAGGTTACAAGATGTCCAAAATGAGTGATAAAAGAAAATGATAAAAAAAATCTACTGCCACTGCCTTTCATATTTCAGTCCAGTGTTTTCCTCACAGCAGAAGAGTTATGCTGGTTCTGGAAGCAATAAATTCAATATTCCTGATCTTCCCAGTCACTTTTAAAGAGGCTTTGCAGACCATGCTGCTCCCCTTCCCTTCCCCACAGGAGAGTAAAATTAGGGGACATAATTCTTCCCATTGGTTTTGGACTTGATTTTTGTTGCATGGTCTATCTTGAGACTTACCTTAATGCCTATTTTTTAAGTGTAAAGGGGAGAGAAAATCTGATGGCATATGCTAAAGCTGAGATTATTAATTGGTTCAGGGAGTGGGCTATTGCTTGAGATAGTAATTACTGCTATGGTTGAACAAAATGAAGGAGGAGAAAGAGAGCATACAAAGAAAAAGGATGGAAAGAGGATAAAGGCATGGGAAAAGAGACAAAGAGTGCTATTAGAACAGCTTTACATTTAAAGGGGAAGAAAATTATTTTGTGTTAAAATTCGTCTTTACCTCTCTGGCTTTTTCAAATATATCACGCCAAGGTGCAGGAAGCAGAAGAAAAACTTGAGGATAACATTGATTCAGAAATAATTTTTAAGACCAGAAACATACTATTCATAGGAACAAGACAGTACAAATAACATCAGAAAATTTCTGTTGCTACTCTAGCCATGATGAGAGGCACAGCTGTGGAAACTATAAGCTATGGACACTATATAGAAGACAGAATGTTTTAGGTACAAAAGGACAGTCCTGGAAGAAGAAGGGAGTCATTGAGGCTTACCATAGCAGTGTAAATGGAAAACAGCTGGAACAAGAATTAGAAAATGAAGAATAGTCTATAGGTTGGTAAGGGTTTGTTTGTTTTGAGGATATTTTTAATAGGAAATAATCTGGAGTGTAAGGTGTTCTTTTTTTTTTTTTTTTTTTTTTTCTCCAAACAGCATCTGGGAGCAAGCATTGACTTCTGCTGTGATTTGTTTCACAGTACTCAAGAAATACATATACATATATAAAAATAAACAAGGAAACAGGGCTACTTACAAGCATTTTGGAAACGACAGCAGCTTTCTAGTTTTATGAAAGGTTGATCCATCAGCTAAAGAATGGGACTGATGAAAGCATATGTTTGTTTTCAAGGTTTTTAAGCACATTTATGTCTGCCCACATCACATTTCACAGTTTTCAAGCCCAGATGAGTCCTCTTACATCACTTTGTGAAGAAATAATTTATATCTCTGCTTATGAATTAGATCATGTGCAGTGCAAATTTGACATAAAGGTATTTATTCTCTATGATGACTATTGGCAGATAATCTTCAAGTTTCCTAGCATAAACTGCTGGACTATAGTAGAGCTACTAAAATTCTGATCTTAAACTTGTGGTACTTCCGTTTTTCTTTGGGAAAGTCTAAGACACCATACCAATCCTTTCGACAGTGCTGTGATAATAAACGTCTCTTCTCATGCATGCTAGCATACATTTGTGAGCAAGTCACCACAGGTTTAACCAGATTCCTGAAGATGCTTCCTAAAATGATTTCTTTACCTCCAGTTTCCAAAATCTTGCATGGCTTTAATATAATGTGGGGGGTTATCTTTTTGTTTAACTGTAGTACATTATGTACTTTTTAAGAGATTTAAATTATATCTCTAAACCACAAAACTTTATTAATGGCCATATGTTCATGAGAACTGAAAGGGAAAAATACATTTAAATCATATTGTACCACATTTTACAGAACAGTATAATTTCACTTGATTTAGGCAATTTTCCAATCTATTTTTAGGAAACCTAACAAACAAACATTTAATTAAATTTGACACTGTACAGAATGCCTAAGAAATATTGTTTTAGCTAGAATATTGCAATGACAAAGTATTTACATTCCAAAGAAAAATTTCTAAATGGTGTATTATTCCCTTTTAGAAGTAAATAATGTATTATCATGTTGTGAAGTATGACAAGTTAAGTTATATCAATTTTTAAATAAATGT